ATTCAATCAATCAAAGCATAATATGCTAATGATATGCTAAGGTTGCTCAACTGCTCGCTATTTTGTGCACTGACCACCAGGGGGCAGATGCTCCAACAGGTAGGTTAGCTTGCTGCTGGGGTCTAGCTGATTGTGACTGAGCAAGACGGGCCTGATAGGCTCCAGAGCCCTCCCACGGTCCCTCCCCTGCTGGCCAACCTCCTGCATCCCTCCCCGGCCCTGATTGTGCACCGGTGGGGTCCCTCGGCCTGGCCTGCACCTCTTGCAATCTGGGACCCCTCAGGGGATGTTGGAGAGCTGGTTTTGGCCTGATCCTGCAGGCCAGGCCGAGGGACCCCACTGGTGCATGAATTCGTACACTGGGCCTCTAGTATGCATATAAAATCTTTGATTAGTCTCTTCGGCACACCCCCTTCCCCTTTGAGATTTGTCAGTCTTTCATATAGATGTCTCTCTCCCTTCTTCTCTTTCTAAAAATCAATAAATATTTTTAAAGAAAGAAATGAAGCCCCAGGCAACAACTAGGAAAAACAAGAGACAGCAGAAACAGATTTATAAAAATTTCAAATACTGAAATTATCAGATACAGATTATAAAATAACTGTCTATTACAGGGGTCCTCAAACTTTTTAAACAGGGGGCCAGTTCACTGTCCCTCAGACGATTGGAAGGCCAGAAAAAAAAAAACTATGAACAAATTCCTGTGCACACTGCACATATCTTATTTTGAAGTAAAAATACAAAACGGGAACAAATACAATATTTGTATTTGCATGTGGCCCGCAGGCTGTAGTTTGAGGACCCCTGGTCTATTAGATTAAAAAAAAAAGACAGGCTTTGAAATACCTGCAGGGAAATATAACATGAGGCAAAAGCAGATTTAAAGTAATTCATATGTAAAAAAAAAAAAATGCAGGTTATGATTATTACAAAAATGCAGGTTATGATTATTATTAAAAACTGTGTTTTTGTGTAACTATAAATCTACTTTGGCCCTACCCAGTATATGAACAAAAACTAAGAATTCACTGGGATTCATAGCAAATCAGATACAACAAAACAGAGAATCTGGAAACGGAAAAGCAAGAAACTATCCAAAATGTAGCACACAGAGACCAAAAGAAAATAGAAAAAGAAGCTAAGGGGCATGGGGACAAAGTAAGACAGTTTAACATGTCATTAATTGGAATTTCATAGGAGGATAAAAAAGAGAACAGAGATAATATTTGGAGACAATGGCTAATAATTTTTGAGAAATATTACAAGACACCAACCCACAGATACCAGAAGCCCAATAAATCAAAAGCAAGCAAAATAAAAGGATGCATCATAGTGAAACTGAAGAACACCACATATTTCAAAAGCAGCCAGGGAAAAAAAGAGCAAATACTTTCAAATAAATAAGTAAATGAATGCTATTTTCTCAACAATAGCAATGGAGCCAGAAGATAATGATAAACTAAAAAAAAATTTTTTTAAGTGCCAGTATAGAAACATAGACAGCAAAAACATCTTTCAAGAATAAGGGGATAGTAAAGTTATCTAAGCAAACAAAAACCTAGAGTTAACTTAACCTCCAGCAGATAAAAAAAGAATACTAAAGGAGCAATTTGGGCAGAAGGAAATGACCTTAGGTGGAAGGTATAGGAAGTCAAAAGGAAAGAAGTACAAAGAAAGATTGAAAAAAAAAGTGACAGTATAAAATGATAATGTTTTACAAGGCTAAAAAAAGGCAAAATAAAAACATACCACCATCACCAAGTGAGTAGCAGGTAAATTGAGTTAATGTTCTGAGGTACTCATTTATTTGGGAGGAGAGTAAAGTTAGTTACTAGTAACATGAAACTTTGCCATATTAAAGACATATGTGGTCATTTCTAAGAGAAACACCAAATAGGATCAAGCTACTAGAAAAGAAATAATTGAAATGATTTAAAAAAAAAATCAATCCAAATGAAAGCAAGAAAGAAAAAGGCCTATAAACATTTAAAAACTACACAACAGGTAGGATAAATAGAGAACATTAAATGTATTTAGGATAAATGTTGAAGTTAAAAAGATTTTTAGAATAAAGGAAAATTTCAACTATATGATATTGTCAAATACACTGAAAACATAATAATGACAAGTTGACAGTATAAAATGCTTATAGCATACAATGGTTTGGTTATACTAAATATCACATAAACTGCATTAGAGCAAAAAAATCACAAGAATTGAATAAAGGCACTTAATACACAGAGCAAAATTTTAAATATAGGAAGAAACAGACAACTCCTCAAATTATGAAAGACGTGATAGATAGTAACTGATAGAACAAAGAGCCTAACTGATAGAATCAGAACACAAAAGATTTAAACACTGATTAAATATCATGGTTAAGGCCCTGACTGGTTTGGCTCAGTGGATGGAGCATCAGCCTGTGGACTGAAAGACCCCAGGTTCGATTCCAGCCAAGGGCATGTACCTTGGTTGCGGGCACATCCCCAGTGGGAAATGTGCAAGAGGCAGCTGATCGATGTTTCTCTCCCATCGATGTTTCTAACTCTCTATCCCTCTCCCTTCCTCTCTGTAAAAAATCAATAAAATATATTTTTTTAAAAATATCATGGTTAAGGGTTCCAGCCAAGATGATGGAGAAAAAAATAATAAAAGCACATAGTACTATGACCTGCCCTCCCCCCAAATAAAATAAAAAACAAAACACATCATGATTAACAAAACTGACTTAGTGACAAAGTTAAACTATTTTGTTTAGGGATGTGTACATGGATGATCAAACCGTAAGGAATAGCAAATAATCACAAAAATTAAAATAGCAGTTGTTTCTAGTGTGTGTGTGTGTGTGTGTGTGTGTGTGTGTGTGTGGCGGGGGGGGGGGGGGGTTGTGATCGGGGAAGAGCACATACAAGTTTCTAGGAAGCTGGAAATAGTTTATTTCTTGACCTAACTAACAATTACATGAAGTTAACTTTATAGTGATTTCCTGTAAGCATTTTTTGTGAAAAACCAGACAAATATTTTAGGCTTTTCAAGCCATATACTCTCTCTACCATATATTCTTCTTTGTCTCTGTAACCCTTTAAAAACCTAACTCATTCTTAGCTTGCCAGCTGTAGGCTACAGTTTACCAACTCTTGCATTAAAATGCTATTTTATGTACTTTTTTTTTTAATCCGCACCCGAGGATATGTGCAATTTTTCCATTGATTTTTAGAAAGAGTGGAAGGGAAAGAAAGAGACAGAGAGAAACACCGATGTGAGAAAGACACATCGATTCGTTTCCTTCCGCATGCCCGACCAGGGCCAGGAGCCTGCAACTGAGGTATGTGCCCTTGACTGGAATCGAACCCAGGACCCCTCAGTCCACAGGCCGACCCTCTATCCACCGAGCCAAGCCAGCTAGGGCTGTTTTATGTACTTTTGCTTAAATTAAAAAATACAAAAAAACTACTGGGGGGGTGGGTGGGGAGCTAAAGTAATTCTTTTTTTTCAATGCTTATCCAAGGATATGTTTTTTTATTGATTTTAGAGGGGGAGAAAGGAAGAGGGGAGGGGGAAGGGAGGGGGAGGGAGAAACATCAATGTGAGAGAGAAACATCAGTTCGTTGCCTCCCGGTACTAGCCCTAACCATGGGTCAAACCCGCAACCTGGGTATGTGCCCCAACCGGGAATTGAACCTGTGACACCTTAGTGCACGGATGACATTCCAACCAACTGAGCCATATGGGCCAGGGCACTAAAGCAATTCTTTATCCATCTATTCTTCTGTTTCAAGATCTTGAATACCCACTGTGTGCCAAACACTGTTTTGGGGTGTTAAAGACTGAAAATTGAACAAGGTATTATCTTGCCAAGATATTCCATATCAAGTAAGAGAAATAATTAAAATAATTATACCTTTATGTAAAGTAGTAAGTACTGTGATAAATGAAAATAACAGTAAACAAAACAAAACCAAGCCCTTGCTCTCATGGGATGAACATTCCAGTGGGAGAAGATGGGCAATAGATAAATCATATAGTTAAAAATTAAAACATATAACTTATAAATAAATTAAAATGTATTAAAACTACACTATACACCAATTATGATGAATGATCTACAATAACACATAACAATATGGATGAATCTCACAAAAGTAATACTGAAAAAAGGATGCCAGACACAAGAGAGTATACTGTATGATTCCTTTTATACACAGTACAAAAACAGGAAAAACTCATCTATGCTGTTAGAAGTCAGGATAGTAGCTATTCTAGATGGCAGGAAGAGGTCTAATAACTGCAAGGGAGCATAAGGGAGGTTTCTGGGAGGCTGGTAATAATTTCCATTTCTTGTGCTAGTATAGTTCGTGAAAATTCAGTAAGCTGTGGGGGCCTGTCCTGTGCATTGTGGGATGTTTACCAGCATCCCGGGTCTCTGCCCACTAAATGCCAATGGTACCTCCCTCTGCCCCTAGTTGTGACTAAAAATTATGCCAACGTTGGCAAATGTCCACTGAGGAGCAAAACGATCCCCGGGTTGAGAGCCACTAACTTGGCTATAATGTTTTTAAGACCTTCAGATTCAAGGCAGGAAACAAACCTATCTCAAATTTGTACAGCATTAGCTCCTCTACTATGTCACTGATTAGGACTTGAAAATAATTAAAATGCCAGGAGCTGACCAAAATTTTTTTTAAATATATTTATAGGAACATAAAAGTTTGTCAAGGATAAAAAAACTACTGTTTGGATAGGAAACCATTTCCTTGACAGAACACTGAGCTGTAGGCTTAGAAGGAATTTATTATACTGAGAACAGAGTTAGCTCTTGTAAAATGTTAATTTACTATATACAGATTTGAATCGAAGTGACTGATTCAGAGGTAATATTATGAACTTTTCTCCTTACTGCCTCATTCCCCTTGAGTGATTAATTTAAGAGAAATTTTGCTTGAGTGTTCCTGGGTTTGTCTCCTGCAACAGGTGTCAAATTTCTCCAGGTGAATGCTTACCGGTAAGGGATTGGATAAGGAATGTTGCGGTGAGGATCGTGCAACTGGTGGAACACTTCTGCCAGGGCTGGTTCCTGGCCCGCTTCCCCCAGCAAACTGGCCAACAGGGAAAAATGGATATGAATAATTCAAAACAGTACTATGCTTCAGATAAGGAGAGTAAAAGATTAATACACAAACAGGTCTTAATTATATATGGACCCTCTAAGTCAATACATCTTATTCTAGAAAGAAAATGCCATGTAAGTCAAATTTTGCTATATTTTCTGTGAGATTTTTAAGAAGGAACTCCAGCAGAAATGTACCAAGAAAACATGGCTAGAAATGGTTTTGAAAAATATGAGAAGAATGTTTTCCCTTCTTGTCACAAAATACATGAAGCAGAAATACAGTGGTCTAGTGGATGCTAGTGTCTTCTTTAGTAACCACTGACGATGGGTCAGTGAGCACACTACATGTCCCACTGGACTAAAGAGAAGAGTCCAAGTTACTCAACTTCAATCTTTGTAAGACATGAAACCTAGTCTGGCCAATAAAAAAATCACCTCATTTGTGAATTTTTATATCATCACAGACAAGATACATCATAATCAAATTTAAATTCAGAAAGCCAGCAGCAGTTTCCTCTTATAGAGAGAAATCGGATGGCATAAGACTGATGAAGATGGGAAGGGCAGGAAAGCATAGTGAAGGAAAAATATTGCTTTCTAAAGCCTTAAATGAAGCAAAATTTTATTTAAAAATAGACTTCTCTTCCCCCCAAAATTTAACTTACCTCAAAGTAATCACTAATTTTATGTCCCCTAGGTGTGCCTTTCCCTGAAAATGAAACCAAAGTAAGTATAGTTTTTTCAATAACACACAGGTAAACTATCAAGCACTAAAATGTACTATGTACTCAATAACTGCATACATTGTTATCAATTCAAGTGCTGGTTTTACTTTTGACAAATGAGCCAAAATACCTAGCTCATAAGGACAGGGAGCTTCCTCTATATAAAGACTGAATAAGCAGTGAAAGACCTTATCACAGCTTGCTTCCCTTTAAGATTTGTTAATCTTTCTTTATAAATTCACTTTTATGTCACAACTGTGAATCAAAATAAAAGTAATCTATAACCCATACCCCCAACTAAGAGAACAAAGAATTCAAAACAAACTCATTTAAAGTAAAGGGTTTATTCTATTTCACAAGACTTTGTGACCTTGTCATTTTGGGAGAATTCCCCCTCTCATCCCAAAAGTAAAAAATTAGTAGATTAAAAAAACAAGAAAAATGCAAATAGGCTGGGACTTCTATTACAGGAGGCAAAGGAGAGTGGAGGGGGAGAGCCAAACCATTTATTCTTTCTTTATATAAAGATATTTGGCATTAGAACTGTCACATCTATAGATTTATTCCACTGAGTGCCAGTGTCCAACTAAATAATTGATATGGAAAAAGAGTAGGTGGAAAGGACAGCCAGGTAAATAAAACCATTTCTGAGCACCTATTATTAACAAATCACTGATCTAATGCATAGTTGAAGCTCCAGTATAACCTCTTTTCTGTACAATAGATGTTTGGCCTGAAGAAAAAAACCTGTGGCCAGAAGATCGTTAACTTACAACAGGAAAAACATGAGTCCCCAAAGAACTGACACTGTATTATCAAGTGTATATCAAGTGGCAAGTCTATAATAAACATCATGATATTCCCTTAAGGTACAACATCTCCTTTGTTAGGAATCCCTGCATACAAATGAATTACCTAGTGTGAGATGGAAAATTCTATCTAAGTACAGTACATAAGAGTTTACTATTTTTATTGGTGTGAAATTATTACTACCTTGGCTAGTTTCATATGGTTCAGCTTTTCTTTTCCGGTTTCTCTGGTCATTCTGTTTTTTCTCAGGAGTCTGTTAAATACCATATAAATCACAATTAGCATTGTGTCAAATTTTTCAGGTTATGAAAATTAGAGAGTATGAGAGTATATACAAAATATCAAATTTATAAGGAGATTTAACTGGTACAGACAAGTCGTAAATCAGTGTCCTGCTCTTAGAGCAGGGTCATGGAAAGTATAAGGTCTGGAACCACATCATCTATACAATTCTTGGCAAACTGCTTAAAATATCAGAGCTTCTATCTACTCGTCTGTAAATCAGAGTTGCTGCAAAGCCTAAATAAGATATTTTTATAAAGCACAAATGTAGTACAAATATCTAGCATACTGTAGGCTTGCCAAAATATCCTAACAGCTGCTATCTACTTTATAAGAGCTTAAATCCAATTCTTTTTCCAAAAAGGATAGACCTGCATAATCAATCAACTGGCTCTAATTTATTGAAAGTTCTGTCAAAATGCAAAATAGGTAGCTGCAGACTTGGACCCACATCCATGCAGCTGGGTTTTTTGCCAAAAAAAAAAAAAAAATTCTTCAAATTCTATTATTAAAGTTGGCCAGGCTACATTGCTATACTGACCCACACATCTGTGTACTAACAAGCATTAAAATTCAAGGGCATCTAAACTAATTCAGATACAACTGCAAATTTTTGACCTTTATTGATGGCAACTAAGCAAAAATTTAAAAGAAATACAGACACAAGGGGTGAGGGAGGTGGAAGAGGATATAGGGGGAATAAATGGTGAAGGAGACTTGACTTGGGGTGGTGGACTCATAGTACAGTGTACAGATAATACAGTGTTGTGGAATTGTGTACCTGAAACTTGTATAATTTTGTCAGTGTCACCCCAATAAATTCAATAAAAAGGAAAAAATTAAAATTAAAAAATACAGACTCAAAGAGCACACAACTGAAACAGCACACACCTTAACAGCACCCCTGGAGTTATATTATCTTTTATCCCAGACTGAAACTGGGAATATGAAAAGTTCTGTAACAGATCTGGCTTCTTACCTCTACTTCTTTATCACTCAAGGACCCCACACTGCACAAGCTCTGGTTTGAAGACTCGCTATTAAGTGGCCCCTGAAAGACAAAAAAAAAGAATTAAAAGAAACTAATTTAAGATAACAGCAAAAGTGAGGAAGAAACCTGTTGATTTTGATGTCTAAGTCACCTGACTTAGAAGCCAATGGGTAACTACAATGTCTCTAAGTCAACTTGAAAAGAACTCAACTACAGTACCCTCATGTTAAAATTCTCTAACTACTATTTTCAATTCCTTTATAAAACGCTGTACTTGTGTGCAGGTTTTCTCTGAGTACATGTCGTGAATTCATTCTTTAAGAAAAATAAGCAGGAGAAATCAATTCTCTCAGCTTCTTCATACAGATATCTGAAAGTTGAGATGTTAATATGTTAAAGGTTCCTTATGAAGGAGTGGTCAGAACCGTACTGAACAAAATGCTTTTCTGAGCCATGCTTTAAGGAGGCATGACTGCTAGTTCAAAAACACACGGTCACAAGAGATCGACTTCTCAGAGCCTAATAGCAAGAGGAGCTCGGCTAGCCCACTCCTCAGTGAAACGGGTGCAGACTATTTAAAAAAAACAACTACTCAAAGCTTCTGGAAATGATCCCTAAGGGCAAACAGCAAATAAAGAAACAACTATTCAATAAATTCTATGACAATTCAGTCTGAAAGGTGAAAAGTTACGGTATTTGAAATAAGACCACTCCCTCCCCTTCTTACTCCCATTTCAGCAAGACTCCAGACTGCTGCCTTCATAACACAGGACTCCCTCTTTCCTCAGCTCTCAGTCCAAGAGCTTTCTTCCTGGGTGAGGAGAGACAAGCAGCTGTGCCACACACACCCATCTCCTGCCCCCTCCAGGGCTCAGCTCCTAGAGCAAGGAGGTCTTTCACAGAAAAGTTCACCACTCTCCCCATCCCCACCTCCAGAACCCTGGCTCAGGTATTTGGCCTAGGGGTAAAAGCTGGAACCCATAATACCAAATCTCTTGCCAAGAGTGTGGACAAGAACAGTGGTGGTAGTAACAGGCGACTGAAAGGAGATTACAGTAAACTCTCAATATGTGGACCTCGATAAAGAGACTTCAGATTTAATGGACAAAATTTCCAGTCTGTATGTAGTATGTGAAAATGACCACCCTGTTAATGTCTAAATGCTTTTAACCAAGATTTACTTATAATTGAATGAACAGGATATTTTTTTGTTATTAATTTACTGTCATTTTTAACAAATTTTAGTGAATTGGCCATATGTTGGAAAAAACACTAGTAATTTTGCCAACATAAATATTACATATCTACAATTATAGTCTACACTAGTGACACGGTGCACAAATTTGTGCACATTGAAATTAATTAGAAGAAATATTTTAATATTGCTATTCGCCTTCTCTCTGTAAGTGTCAACCAAATTCACGATCGACAATGACAGATCGAAACACATGTGTGCGACTGGCGCCAGCGAGAGCTTTATATGTATCATGCATGCACAAGTCAACTTAGCCTTTTATATATACAGAATAAACTTGCTTAATTAGAAATGCTTTCTGATGTAGCTAAACTTTTTCCAGCCCAGTGAAACACCCCAACTTCTCTTTCAGGTAATTGTCAGCAGCACAGCAGTATGTATCAACATGAAGCAGATTATTATTGTAGATCACGCAGGGAGAACGAAGGGTAAAATAACTGCAGCAGTGTTTGACTATATTCTGCGCAGTGAGAAAACCTGAAGTCATTTTCAAGGTCCACCATTTCTTACTTCTTCAGTGGGGTCCAAGTTTCTAAACTTTCTAAATCTCCATTTTCCGGCTAATGAAAAGAAAATAGGATTCCACCAAGTCTCCTATCTACCTACTCCAGGACTTCTGTGAGGATCAAATGAGATGAGGCACAGGAAAACGCTTCACAGACATTTAGTTAAAGTGTGAAATGTTTCCACCTGGCTATAAACCAAGTCATGTTCCTGGGCTGAAGAAACTGCAAGGAGGCTAGTCGTCGCTAGGGAAAGGAAGCCGAGCGTTGCTATGTGACATCATTACCCGGACAGACACTTAGCATATTAGCCTTTTATATATATAGATATTTAAATCCAAGTCACCACTCGTTCTCATTCAGCAAACGATTAGCAAGTGATCACACTGTACCGGATGCTTCTGTTGTAGCATGGCATGACTTTCTGCTTCAGTTTTAACACATGCTGGTCAATGTTCCCCCATCCACTAAGCCATGCCCCAGCTGTGTGCATTTGTTTATTTTCAGTAACTAGTGAATGCACACATTTACTAGACCCATTCACTATAAATTTAAAATTACTGTCAACATGGCTCAGTGGTAGAGTGTCAATCACGGTTTGATTCCGTCAGGGTACATGCCCAGGTTGCCAGCTTGATCCCCAGTGTGGGGGATGCAGGAGGCAGCCGATCAGTGATTCTCTCTCATCACTATGTTTTTCTCTCTCTCCCCCTCTCCCTTCCTCTCTGAAATTAATAAAAATATATTTTAAAAATAAATAAAATTACTGTAACACATATAGAAAACTTGTCTGTGAAGTTAAACTTTTCATAGATACTTAATTTTAATCACAAAAATGTATCTACATAAGTAAAAACAGGTAAAGTAATTTGTCAATTTTTTAACATATGCATTCAGAAAACCTACTGTGGAGAACCTATTATTATATAACAGACTTTCAGCTTTAATGGATACCCCCCTCACCTGAATTAGTCCGTTTTATCAAATTAGTCCATTATATCAAGGTTTTATAAGATACAGCCTAGATAGACTATAGGCCAGAGAGTTTGTAGGAGAAAACCAGGGAATAAGACTGCTGGAAAGAGTTCTCTGGGGGAGAGAACACATAGCAAACATTGACTCAAAAACTCTCCCTTCCTTCATGGAACCCCAATTTGATTGGATTAGTTTGTAAAGGAATTTATGCCTCGAGGCATTGTTGAAAATAATAGAGTAATATGGGCAATTAGGGGAATTTAACAGCTGGGTTGGTCAAGGAAGGAGAGCCCTACCAGTAAGTCATCGCAGGGTGACTATAGGCATACCTAAAACTGTGCCTCCCTAAGGAACACCACCAGAGGCGTATTGCTAGGGAGATGGGGTGGTACAACAGACTTTACTAAAATAATCCAGCAAGTCACTAAACAAACAAGCAAATAACAATAACAAGCCCCAAGGGATGGGATGAGAAATCAGTACCCAGAGTTGCTGCAATGTATCATTTAAAATGACCAGTTTCCAACAAACAACTCATGAGGCATGCAAAGAAACAGGAAAATATGACCCATATATGTGACGGGGGGAGTCAGGGTTAGGGTTAGGGTTAGGTTGACCCTCAACCACTTAGCCACGCTGGCCAGGCTATTAATGACTTTTTAAAGTAAAAAACCAAATGGACCATTTGAAAAATAGAGAACAGCCCTTGCTGGTTTGCCTCAGTGGATAGAGCATCTGTCTGTGGACTGAAGGGTCCCGGGTTCGATTCCAGTTAAGAGCACATGCCTGGGTTGCAGGCTCATTCCCTAGTAGGGGTATGCAGGAGGCAGCCAATCAATGATTCTCTCTCATCACTGATGTTTCTATCTCTCTCTCCCTCTCCCTTCTGCTCTGAAATAAAAAATTAAAATAACCTATATATATAAAACCCTACTATACAAATAGACTGAATGGCAGAACACCCGAACAACTGGTTGCTATGACATATGCTAACCACCGGGGGCGTGCACGGATCATGGCGGGTGTAGGCAGCTGGCCGCAGAGTGTGGAACATGATGGGCATCGGTTGCGGCAGGATGGTGGAGCAGGTGAGCGGAGGTGCCAGATCAAGGCAGAGTGCCAGTCGCTGTCATTGGGGCGAGCCTATGGTGGTTACTGAAAATTCTTTGCTCCCGCGTGCTGCAGTCCCGCTCGGAGCTCGAACCTGCAGCCAGTGCCAGCCCCACTCGCACCCATTGCCAGCTCCTGGCGCTGGCCCTGATTGCTTAGCGCCGTCAGCAGATGTGAGTGGCGGTTGCCAGCCCCGATCGCCCCTCAGGGCGTCTCCACCTCTCCCTGCTCCTGAGGGGCGATTGGGGCACCAGCCACTGCTCACACCCGCTGCTAAGGACCAGCCCCAATCTCTCCGCACCATTAGCGGGTGCAAGTGGAGCTGGTACCCGTCAGTGCGTGGGAGCAGCGGCGATGGAGGGAGCAGGGCTGCCGGCAGGGAGGGGACCAGGGGGCCCTGGTGGGAGGGGCCGGGCAGGGCCGTGGAGGATGGACCAAGACCCACCCCTGTGCCCACCACAGCCTCACCAGCCCACAGTTCCTTTCAAGGTGCATGAATTCATGCACTGGGCCCCTAGTAATAATAATAATGTTAAAAAATAATAAAAATTAAAAATAGACAACAGTCAAGTTTCTTGTTTTTAAAAATGTATGGTTTCCAAACACAAAGTAAAACATGCTTTTAATTTACTCAAAATGCACTTTTGAAGGACTTAAACAAATACTTCAGTTACAAGCCTAAAGAAAATTTTGTGGATAATTTATAAAACCATGAAAACTGAGGTTAAGATACAAATGTTGCCGAAACCGGTTTGGCTCAGTGGATAGAGCGTCGGCCTGCGGACTGAAGGGTCCCGGGTTCGATTCCGGTCAAGGGCATGTGCCTGGGTTGCGGGCACATCCCCAGTGGGAGATGTGCGGGAGGCAGCTGATCGATGTTTCTAACTCTATCTCTCTCCCTTCCTCTCTGCAAAAAATCAATAAAATATATTAAAAAAAAAAAAAAGATACAAATGTTGACAATCAGCCTTTAGCACATGAATTAAACTCGTATAAACTAAAAAAAACTTGTAGAAGTAGGGGCCAAAGGTTAATCTTTCACTCCTATAAAAGTTTAAATATCAACATTCATTGAGTTTCTAAAGTCTTCATTTCCTCTTTGGACTAAATAGGCATTTTAAAAGGGACTGAGAACAGTGGACAGAAGTTGAACTTGATTAAGTATAAAGGAGCACAGCTGATAAGAGTCCAACTACCTGAGAAAGTAAAGATACTCC